TACCTCGATTTATCTCGAAATCGCCTCGGTAACAGCCTGTTGCATATTGTCCATGTTGTAACGGAAGCCCAGGCCGATATATCGCCGCCCAATAACGCCTTGTGTGGGTCCACAACGGAAGAACACGACAAGTGTGCAGCGGCAGAAGTCTTTGAGTGTTAGAGGTACAACAAATTTAGGGAAAAGAACGTGTGTAAGGTAGGTCCACGAACCAATCAGCTCCACTTCTGTATTAGTCACTGGTGCGATTGGCTCAGACTCAGAGGCTGACATTCAATTTGAATTTTGAATTATCGATTGATTGGCGGCTTGTGTACGTTCGCCCAGTAGGCCGATCGATAGCCTGCTTGGAGTGCGGCTATGGCTTGCAAGCTACTACTTGCTAAGGCTATTCGTTAGGCCTTCCTAACAGTCCATACCTGGGTTGGGGGCATAGCTGGCAAGGACTAACTGATCAAAGGTGGTCGTTACAATCTCATTTATATGTATAGGTACTGAATCTATTGTTTAGTGAATCTGTCGTCAATATTGCATCCTCTCAATTTGAACTTTTCATGTTTCGAATACCGCTTTCAAATCGGATGTAGTCTTTGCCTAGTTTACTTATCTGTTTTAATACCCAAATTCTACTGAAAGGCGTCCAATGTGGAATGTTTTTCTATCAAACAACTGCCTCCTCTTCCCCTACTCTGGTTGTTCTTCTTTCGAAAGACTCTTCACGTTAGGACGCACCGTCAATGTTTTTTTTATCTACAGACTTCGGATTTGAGACCCTTTTCGTCTTCCTTCCGTCGTCCTCGACGGCGACCGTTCAAATTAGCCTAGTTATCGTGGGTTAGGGGTACTTAAGCTGTGACTATCGTGATGTAGTCTTGATACTGGTGGCCATTAGGCCAGGCCGGAGTAATGCTGCTTCCAACATCTTGGTGGAGATTAAGCAGGTGTGCGACAGAGCCATACGTCCAAACACTGAATGAATTGAGCTCGTCTGTGAGACTTAGGCGTGTGGCAGTTCGACCATCGTTTTCGACGAGTTCTGCCGTGTGCTCAACAGCAGGATGGGGCAGGGACAGTGACTTTCGACACACCTACCTCACTCTCCTTCCCACTCTCCCACCTGTTTCAATGTAGTCCACCCTGGCCAGAAAACCACGGAAAAGTGGCTCGGATCCCAGCTGATTGTGTGGCCATATTGAGAAGAAGCCATTGCAGCCTGACTCCCTCTGCCAGTCTGCCATTCCACACGAACATGCGCTTAGCTGACCTCACGGTCCGCGTTGGCAACCTTCCCAGTCACCGTGATAGGTTCAAGTGCGGTAGATCCCATAGAGAGGAAAGCCCTCCGAGCCGTCGTACACAGTCAGAGCCGATCACTTTTGTGCTTGTGGGGAGCGGTAGGCTAAACTCGTGCGTATACCAATGTGGAGACTAACCCAGCTCTTCAAAATATTATGAAACCCACTGCCGTCGACTTTTCATGAAACACTGCGCTACTTCAGGCTTCCCTCCAACCCCCGAAGGGCGTCTACCGCATATCACTCAAGCCGGTTTTCTGCGGATAAGGCATTAGGCAACTGATTTCGGAGGTGACTTCAACGCAGTGGGTATAGTATCTCATCTTCCTCTCGGCAAATAAGCTGGGTATGCCCGGTTTGGAGACGAGAGTAGTCTGATCCCCTAAATTCCATGTTCCAAAGTTATTTCCGCCCTTTTGAATTATTTCCATTTCTGACGTTGAACGCTGCATTTGGGCATCTCTAATGTCGACTACCCTTGAACTTTAGGTAATGAAGACGTCTATGGCTAAGGGTTCCGCGGTGGGTTATCGGGAAGAGGCCAAGGCATTCGGTCAGCTTGCAATGACCTCAGAATCCAAGGCTCTCTTTGGTCTCTTCTTTGGACACACCGAATGCAAGCGCCGTCGATTCCCAGCTCCAGTGAAGCCTGTAAAGTAAGTCTTTAATAGATTTCTCGATATCCTTAGAGCAATCCATTGAATGTAATTGTTTCTTCAAGGACTGACTCGTATGTGTGTGATCTGTCAATTCTCTAGTTGACTCATCTCCGACAGTTGAGCCATGGTTAGTTGCCTTAGTTATAATTTTCATGCTGATAGTACATGCTGTTTGCGGATAATAGCCCAGGCTTTGGTATAGGAAAGTAAGAAGTAGGGATACTGACAGGAAGACGAATCAGCCAACAAATATCCACTTGATTAACCTCATCTGCCGGACTTTTGCTAGAATTCATCACGAGAGAGGGATAAGCACACTGATACTGAAAAAAAGTATGTTTCTTTCTGCAATCGCAACTGTGAAGAGCCATTTCAACCTATCTGCGATTTTGATTTGGAAATACAAAATAGCGTTACCACGATGTTGAAAGCACTGCTGAACCCCGCTCCCACAGTTCCTGTCGAAAACGGATAGGTAGCCGCTTCGGGCTCCAGCTTGAGCAGACAACTGCTTATTACTGTTACTTATTTTTTTGTATTTGTTTCGCTTATCGACATCAATTTCCTATGAATTTGTTCCTGTGCTGGGCTCTTTGAACAGAGCACTTGGTCCGCATACCTTCACTTTCCTGTGTCATTGTGTGGAACTTTATTGCCCCTTAAACTGGTCGCACGGTAGATCCGCTGGACCAACACGGAGACATGACAGGAGTTATTCGAGATTCGCGTCCATAACAATTGCCGCACATGTAGGAAGGGATGTGGGCACGCGTAGGCGCCG